TGTTTGTCACGCTACTTTGCTAATAGAATCTGTTGAGTTACCTATGAGTTGGTAAGATATGAATAGTTTTGTGAATCATTTGGCTCCAAAGATGGGTTGTGTTCATGAACTAGCTACGACCCCCGAAACGTTTGTGGTAGTTTTCATGCCCTTCATTCGCTTGAATTTTCCTTATTTTATCATTTTTATGTTCTGCATTTAAACTACGCTTTCTTGCAGGCATTATGTATTAGATCGATAAATCCTAGTCTGTGTAAAAAACTATACACCATCAGACAAATGAACTCACGTAGTCGTAACTTTATTAAATATAACTACACATAAAGTAGACAATAAAGTATAGTAACGGTATTTACAATAGTGTACAGAGTTTGAAACAGTTATGAGGATTCAGTGTATGACACGTTTATAAGTTGAAACACAGAAACTCACAAAACAAAGAATAAAATGCATACTAAAGAAAAAGTAGCTAAAAGGTATTTATAGAAGTCTATGAAACGAACCGAAGCTAAATTATTGTAAAGTAAAGTAAATGTAAAGTTCTAATGAAGACAAATTTAGCTGAATATGTAGAAACGTCTGAATGAGTGTTCACAAAGTGATAATCATATGGTTTTGAACGAACTGCGCATGCATATTTTAGATCTAAATAAGTCCAGAAAGCCTGTATAAATTGTATTTAGTGTAATGTTAATTTTTTTAAACAAATTACACGTGGGTTAAGTGTTGTTTATGTAAAATACTTTGCAAATAAAAAACTAAAATTGAAGTCTAAGCCAGTCAAAGCCAGTCGTCACGTGATGACAACGATATTATGCCATTGTGTAGCATACTTGTTGCATTAATAAGTTGAATAAGCGAAAAACAAGTAAAATTATTCTGAATGGAAAAGCCAATATGCAATCAGGACTCCTTGGACAAAGGCCTTTCTAAGGATATGAGATAAGTAACATTTGATTAAGAAATTTGCGAGAAAAATCCCGGACAGAAAACGCAAGCGTATTAATTATACAGATGATGCAGTCTAATATGTCCAAATAGTGCAAAAAATAGTGTTGCTTCAGATAAATAAGCACTTTTTATTTGATGCTTAAGATATTTATTTACTTATAGAATGTGCTAATTAAGGGAGGCCATGTTGAACCTGTACCTATAAGTATCATTTGTGGTAAGTGATTCACCCCAGTTTATCTTGTTATCTATTCCTTAAGCCCAGCATGGCCAAGTGGTTAGGGCTCTTGAGTCGCAATTTGAGGGTTGCGGGTTCGATCCCCGTCCCACCACACATGCTCACCATTTCAGTTGTGGGGGTGTTATAATGTGACGTTGGTAAAAGAGTAGCCCAAGAGTTGGCAGTGGATAGTGATGACTAGCTGCCTTCCTTCTAGTCTTTCACTGTTAAATTTGGGATGGCTAGCACAGATATCCCTCATTGAGCTTTGCGCAAAATTCAACCAAATCTATTCCTTTTAAGTTTTTTTTCCTGCCTGTAAAATGGCTTTCGTTGCATTCACTATATCTTTATAATCTTCTGTTATTCAACAATACACGTACATTTTGTTCACACTAATCAACTTTTCAATCACACTCCTTGAACTACCATTTTGGTGAGGAGGTAATATCCCCATCTAATTTCATATCTAATTTCAGAAAAAACTACCAAATCAACATAACTTGACACAGTAATACATGAGAAAGGTCATGAGTGAGGAGGAGGTCTCATAGATTAATTTGCTCTAATCCTACCAGAAAGAATTTCATGTGCCGCGGCTATTGAGGATTCCCTTTTGTTTTTACTGAAAAATGCCTGTTTGCAGATCTGTTTGTATAACAAGTGTGTAAAATTTAATTTTAAGTTTTACATCTCCACACTTGAAAATCATCAGTTAATTTCAAAATGTTTAAGATAAAAATAAAATTTTGTGTCAGAAATGTAATAGATAGCTGAAATATCTATAAATCATTGAGGTTCAACGAAATTAACTTAAATATTTTAGAGATATTTCAAGAAGGGAGTGTATAATTGGAATGGAAGAGTTTATCATGATCCACCAGACAAACTAACAGATGAATAAAAGCAAGAATGTGACCAAAAATATAAAATGTGGTTGAAGAACATGGGGTCCTCCCTCGTGTCATTTTGTATTACTGTGTCAAGTTCGGTGCTGGTTAATCAAGAAATGTAGAAACATATTAGGAACATCTACACACAAACACATATTGACGTTTATTTATATAGATTAGGTGGGGGCCCAACCCCTCATGATCTTCTTCATGTCAGTCTATATCACTGCATCAAGTTGAGCTGAGACTGGGTATGAAATTAAATGGGGGTCACATCCCCAGGGTCTAACTCCCCATCTCTATGAAAAAAAATATATATATTAAAAAGTTTTCATTGACACTAAGAACGTGACGTGACAAACATTAAACATGAGTAAGCTGATTCCATATTTATATAGGCCTACTATTATAGGGGCTGAAAGGTGTGAACAAACAGACAAAAACAAAGCGTGGGGCGCGTATACTCGATTCGATTTTATTATTTATCAGGATCTCTACCAGTCTACCCTCAAATTGAAATTCTTTTAGGCAGGATTAGAGTAAATTAATCTACTAACGTAAACGGGCATATAAACTCGCTATAAACCAATCTAGTCCCCTACTAACTAGTCGCTAAATCTTTTTACAAGTCAATTTTTGTATCTATATATTTTAAGAATATCTATTTCTCCACGCTGATTACACAATTAGAGATTTATAGAATGTTTCTGTTAGGCTAGCATTGTGAACCTTTAAATACATTAAACAAAGACACTGTTTAAACAGTGCTATAAAACAAAATCTGAAACACCTAACTGAAACAATGATGAATAATTTTTCAATACAACAAAATGACATGAAATTATGGATCAGTATTTGAGGTATTTTAATACTTTCGTCATAAACAGTTGTAAAAGGATTGTTTGTTTTGAATTTCGCGCAAAGCTACACGAGGGCTATCTGCGCTAGTCGTCCCTA